TCTCTTTCACTTCCTCGGTAATCTTGCAAATGATAGCGTAGTCCTTTGTATGGAGCTAAAAATCTTTTTGTGTTTCGGAAACCAAGCATCAACAACATAATATTTATCTACCAAAAAACATTTTTATAAAGAATTACTAAAAGCATATGTGACGTAAATGAGACAGCTTTGTGTAAATAAATAATATTTATTCTAAGGATGTAATTTAAAGTTATCATGTGGCGGAAATGGAAATTGTGAAGTTGGTTTAACAAGTGCATTCTCAAGTACTTTACTATCATGTGCAGTACCTTCCCAACCAGCAGCAACAAATGTAAATCGTGTATCAAAATCACAAACACGTAAGACATTTTGTGATGTTCTTCCTTTGCGATTACGATATGCTTGTTGCACTGCTTTAGGAACCTCCTCTTCTATATATGTTACATCAATCGCACCAACACAATCCTACCAAATCAAAAATACATCAATATTAGTTTAGTGAACATAAAATAAATTGGAAGCATTATAGAATGCACTTCATAAAAATAATATTTGTAAGAGTAATAAAAATAGTGCTTCCAAGACAATGCAAAGTCATAAAAATAAATATTATCTCTTTAAACAAAGTTGATAGGAAATATGTAACCTAAATACTAATAACTTACACATAAAATATAAATGTTCACTTATTAAGGCCATAAAATAAATTATTAATGTGATTGAAATTTACCTAACCAAGGCCAAAATCGAGTATTATGTCGAAATTTTTGGAAATGTACACCAGTCATATTTTTTGGTTGTATAAATGTTGGTGTCATCTTGCTAATTGCCTCGGCAACTATTTTAACATGCCGGTTAATTGTTTCAAGTGAATGTTTGAAAAGTTTTCACAATCGTGAGGTGTGATTTAAAGTGACTATATGTTGGTAGAGAATAATAAATTTTATGTCGATGAGAATAATAATTTTAAAAGTAATGATGTGATTATAAATTTTATTTACATATGAAACAAATGGTTAGTAGATATAAATGTGGGGTTGTTTTTAACAAAATATAAACTCATGGATCAATTATTGTATTAAAATACCTCAAATCATGATATGGAATCACCATATAATTCCATATCATGGTTTTTTGGAGAATATGGTATCACCTCTCATGATATGGAATCATGAGATGGAATCAGCGTAAAATTATATGTCCAAACGTTGATTCCATCTCGCGATATGGTATCGCATGGCCAAACGCCTACTTAGTATAAGATTAAATCAGTAAAATGTCCAAGCATCAAATGCAAGACATTTAAGAAATTCCATTTAGTATATATTGGAGTAAATATTTATTTCCATTTAGTATTTACGCCAAGTTAACAAATTAATGTTATAAAAACACTAGCTGAAAAGTCAATATTTTTCTTTTTTCATAGGTAAACAACCTCTCTATCAGTATGAAATAATGATAAAATTTGCGTACAATCTATTCTCTCAAATGACCAGATATTAAAGGATTTCATTGTTGTTGGTGTAGTATATATGTTTTTGGAACTGGGAAGAGAAAGAATTTGGAGCTCATTCATTCAGCAAGAAGTTGGAGGATGCAAGATAGGGATGTAGCAACAGTCCTTTAATGGGGAAATTCTGCAAGTGCACCCCTTTAATTGTACCACACCCTTCAATCCAATGCCATTCCCATTTAGTACCATTTTCTGCACATTCTCTCCATACCAACATTCCTGATCCAAGATCTCTGTACAAGCACATTGCCCCACCAATGCACACACATCTGGTGTTAATACTACCCCATCTTCCTTTACCTCCAAACAATTTTGCCCACAATTCTTGTGGCACCTTCTCAATCATTCTCCAATTATTTGATTCCTCAAGCTGCCATATACATGCCCCTGCATCACTAGTTCCACCAACAAGACATAATTTCCCATTTCTTTCTACCAGTGCTGCAAATTCAAGCCTGTCAGCCATCGGCACTCCTAATTCTCTCCAATTTTTGTTCCTAATTTCGAATCCCATTACGGTATAAGCCCGGGCTGAGGTGATCCAATACAGGATGCCGTTGCAGTAAACACTCTCATTTGGGGTCCAAACTGTTAGCCTTACTGCAAATTCCATCGGCATTGATCCTATTGTTTTCCAGTTTTCGTGAACAGAGTCGTACACTTCTAAGCTGGGCTCGTACGAAGCACCTCCTCCGACGCTGCTTGCCTCTGACATCCCTCCGGCAACATAGACCTGGAAGTTTGCTGAATTCAGTGATATTACCCCAACAGCTGGATTAGTTCTCGTGACATTTAGCTTTGGGAGGTTCCTGAATTGGCGAGTGAAAGGGTTGCATATGGCTAATTGAAGAGCAGTAGTTGTGGTTTCTCTCAGTAGTATTAGGCCATTAACTGCTGCAATTGGGCGAATTGGGTTGGGAATGAAGTCAAGAGGCAATAGATGCCAAGAATCCTTAATTGGGTTGTGAGCACAAATAAAATGCCCATGGTTGCGTGTGGGCAATGCTAGAAACCACGGCGGATATTGCCGCCATGGCAGCGTTGCCCATGAAAGTGAATTGTTAGCACATGTGTGCCAACTCTTGCAGGTGGATTTAGCCCTGGCTAATGAATCAGGAGAAAGATAAGAGAAAATGTTGGCTAGGAGTTCAAAAGGCAGGTTGCTCCACATATCGTCAGACGTCCTAAATGCTTTTGCTACATGGAGATATGGAAGACTATATATGTGTGGCACAAACTGCAAGTGATTGTGGCTCAGCAATGATTGAAGGAGAAAAAAATTATTCCCTCCGTTTCAATTTATTTGTTTTGCTTTTCTTTTGCATCTGTTCCGACTTTACACAAACCCCAAGATTAAAACCATACTTTTCAAAAAAAAATATTATTTTGTATAAACTTCATATCAAGTCAAAATCAGATAAATAAATTGAAACAAAAGGTGTAGTCGAAGGCTTTTGATTTAGCATAGAGATGCGTGACCATCATGTGAATGTCAAAGTTCTGTTATTTTTTTGGTACTGTTTTTGTTGTTTTCTGGATATTTTAATGCTTAGACGTAGTTCTTGGAAGTGCCCAAGAGCCATCAAAGTTCAAATAGAAAGATAGAAAAAAGAAGTGCAATTTGTAGCCATCCTTTTAATTCTGGATAATGAAAGTAGCCACCCTGCCCTCAGCCCTTGCAGCAGTACGGGCAGTCATCAACTTGGCATTAGTTACTGTTAAATTAAATATATATTAATATATTATGCCTCACCTATATGACCAAACTTATTGATTGATTATGATTATCTACCTCATATGTTTGACACGATCATACATGAGTGAGTTTCCCGTCTTTGACTTATTAAATTGTAATGATAATGACCTCAATCCCTTTCGGATTTCCAGGGACATTATTATAAATTATCAACTTACAAGTTGATAATACGGAGAAGTTTAGAACACTTATTTATTATGGTTACTCAATTAATAATTATTATTTTATAAAATTGATTGAAGAAAAATTGAAATCCAACAAAAATGTGATTTTTGAGATGATATTAGATTAATTGAGTTATCATCTTAAAAATCAACCTATAATATAAAATATTAATTAAGTATTGAATATTTCAAACTATGATTTTTTTAGAGATAATCTTTAAGTTTTAAGACTTATCCTTTTGTAAGAAATTAAGAAAACGTCTTAGTCCCTTGTAATTTACGTAATTTGCTAGAAAAAAAATTCCGTGCGCGCCTAGTTCTTTTGAGAATTTGGTTGTCATTAGAACCTTAAATTCCTCTTTTCCAGTTAAATCATATTATTATTGGTTTAATAAACCATAAATCCAAATTAAACTTGAAATGGTACTACAACTGGACTCTAAATAAATTTCTATTTTTACTGTGTTTGGTATAAAATGTACTATTTATAGGATTTTCTATGTAAACCCCTTTACTATGATATTGTGAAAAGAGGGCCAACAGGAGGTATAAAATTACGTTTAGGGGTATGATATAAAAAAAATTAGTTTGGTTATTTTGATTTCCAAATATTATCTTATTATCGGATCAAATCGGTATGGTTCGGATCGGCATTTATGGTACATTAATTTTGTAATCATAATTTGATTGATTTGTAAATTACAAATACTTATATGATCAAATTTTCAAGAAACGATTTAACTATATTATACTAACACCTTGTACACATATTCAAAATAAAGTACAAACAATTTCCTTTGTTAATCAATCACCAAAAAGAACATTTCAATCAAGATAGAGTAGTCAAAGATCAAGCGTCTAAATAATTAATTTTGTACTAATATATATATAAATTTTATATAGAGAAAAAGTTCAAATATGCCATTGAATTTTGAGATAAGACTCATCTATGTCATCCATTAAAAGTTTGTTCATCTATGCCATTCCCGTTTGAGAAAAGGTTCATCCATGCCATTATTTGTTAACTAAAAATATTTTTGATTTTGCAAAATCATTTTTTATACGTGGTAAATTATGATTCGGCCACGTCATTAATTATATCATCTTTTAAATGGAAAAATGTTCAAATATGCCATCGAACTTTGAGAAAATGCTTATCTATGCCATTCGTTAAAAGTTTGACTAATTTATGTCATTTCAGTTAACAAATAATGACATGGATGAGCATTTTCTCAAACAAAAATAGCATAATATGAGCCAAACTTTTGCGAATGGCATAGATGAACATTTTTCAAAGTTCGATGACATATTTAAGTTTTTTCCCTTTTACATATAACTATATAGTACTATAATATATGAAATCAAAATTTAAAAAACGCATACCAAATATCATGTGTGATATCAAAATTTTTAGTTTTGATATGATATTCAATATCAACCGTAATTAAGATTTTTTTCCTTTTTGAAAAGTAAACTTCCTTTTGGATGTCGATTTCTATGCTTTTTTTCCAAGGCTACAATGACAAAATAAAATTTGTATACATTTGTGTCATTTTTGCCAAATAAAAAAAAACCCCGGAAAGTGATGGGTACCGTTCAGGGTCTCCGTGGCCCAACAAAAAAGAGGTCTGTATTTTCTTTCCTTATTTGAAAAAAGGTTTATGGCCCTTTTCAGCAACACTTCGTAGCTTTTGACAATTGGCATGGCGTCTACATCAAAGAAATGGGCACGGGACCTCTATTTCGTCTCGTCCAGGCTATACTTTCTTCTAATACTTTTCCAACTCCCACTTTTCAGGTTCTAATTTACTTCTCAATCAATTCTCCATTCCAACAAATGTTAGGTTTTTGTTAATGGAATATTGAACGCCCTTACAAAATTGACCTTGATTGGGAATACTTATTAATACTCGCAATGCAATGCAGTGTATTCACATTGATTGGTTATTGGTTTAATTAATGTTGTTAATGGCACGAATCAAGCTAGTAGACTATCATTGTGCCTTTTGCATTTTTGAAAATTCAGAGTTTATGGGTTTGATTGCAGATTCCCTTGTAGAATTGGTACATGTACCACACCAATTGAAGTGTCACTGTCTCTATTGTACGCAAATGGAGTTGTTCCAGGAGGTATGGTAAAAGCCCTGATTTACCCAGGAGCAGTAGCAAAAGCCATTTATAAGAACAACGCCATCCCAAGCTATGGGAAGCTTCTAGAAGCCTACAAATTCACCAACATGAAGGAATCTTATATAACTCATGATCTCCAGAACTTAGAGGTTAATTATCAATTTATAATTCTGCTTGAATTTGGGGGTTCTTCTTTTTCAGTACTTGTGTTTAATTTTATAGTAATTTTTTTGGTTTTGGGTGACACAGGTTATAGTAGGAAGTTACTTGTCGGTGGCAGGAGCACTATTGGGTCTAATGAAATCAGGGAGATTTAGTCTTATTGGGATTCTTCTCATCACATGGGGTCTTGACAATCAAGTACTTTTTAGGAATTCCGCAAGTGTAGTCATATACCCAACTATGCTAATTGTTTTGCTTTCTGCCTTCTTTTCTATCAGAGCAGATGTCACAAAGATGATACGTTTCTCCAAACAACAGGCCTCTATTAGAAATGAACAAAAGCAAAAGATAACTAGAGTTAGATATGCTAGCTAATTGATTGCCACTTTCTTATTTTTTTTTTTGTCATACATTTAGGTTGCAATACTTTCTTATCAATATTTCTTCATAAAGTGATTACTATATTGCAGTAATTTTAATGCTGACAAGTACCAAGCACTGAGTCACAGTGGCAAACAGCCATTGGGGCATTTATTTTCATACCTCAATCATGGTGACAAAATACTATGTTTCCTGTAGAAGTCTTTTCTTTGTTGTGGTGTCATTAGTCATTACTTATAGAGAAAATTAAGTAAATATAGTAGGTCCCGTCGTGTTTGTGCAATTAGAAGTTAGTTTTCTTTAAAAATTATCAACATCTGCAATTTATATACAGAAGAAAGATTGATATCAATAAGGATTGTAGTTGAGTGATCATTACTCCTTTTATCTTTTAACAAGATGTAACTTGATCGAATTCATGGTATAAAGTAAAGCAGATGATATGTTAGTAACCAAAGACCCAAAAAGCAGATGATTTTTTCATTTTCCAATAGAGAATCTAATGTGGGCCTAGCCCTCACCTTGATGAATCATATGGTGGGACCCAGCAGCGGCAAGACAAAGCACCACCCTACACTAGGTAACAAGGATTTCTGTCTTTTTGTTTTTTGGTTCAATGGGTTAATTATTTGTTTAGCAAATAGGAAAATGTGATGGAGAAAGATAAAACATAAAAGAGATTCCTTCTATAATGAGCAGTAGAAATCGGTGGAGTAACTGATTGGAGAATAATGGAGCTGTCCCACTGCAATTAACAATAAGATCTCCTTCCTACTAGGGATTCTTCTCAATTACAAAGAAAAATATTTGAGTTTTCGCTTCATACAAGGTTTTGCTTTTCTCAAATTCTTTTTGGGTAAAGCTTGTTGGTGACTTGGAAAAGTTACTACCTTTAGCTTCAGATTCTTTTCTAGTACAAAGAATCTTGTACTGAGAGTTCAGTGACCCCCAACTAGAGAGGCGGCTGCATCATGGAAGCTGAGAATATTCTCAGAATCATAAGAAAATTTGCACTTGCAGAGGTGTTTTTATGCTTCTAATGGCTAGCTGCTGTTGGAGGGTTTTCACATTTGCTGCAAATTTCTTGCTATTCCTCTGTTTTCCTTCTCTAGGATAAAGCAAGAGAAGTTCAAGAATTCTGTTTCAGGTAAAAATGGGTACTGTTTTTTATTGAATCAGATCTAAGAGGACTACCCCCGCTGCACTTTTGTAATTTTGACATCTTTTTTACCCAATAAGAGATTCTTTCTCTCAGGTTTAGAAAAGTTGGCCTGAACTTTGTAGAGAAGAATGATGATGTCTTTCAGTTCATTGAACTATTCAACATGTACCTTAGCTCGTATGAACAGCCACCATAGCCATAACAGAACAAGAAAAAGTTCAGCTTTTGCGACACCTCCTTCATCCATCATCTCACAAACTGAAGAAAGCAGAAATCTAGCCAACTCAATGGAGAATTCTCCTTTAGATGCGGCTTCAAAGCGCCCAGATTCCTCTGTTTTGCTCACCCATAAAAATGCAATAGGGATCATTGGGGGGTTATCCATTGGAACCACTCTTAATTTTGTGAGCAAACTTGTCACATGGAGTTCCAAAGATAGTGGAAATGACATTCCCTTTGTTCTTTGTTCCGATCCTGTTCTTAACAAAGAGCTTTCATTCCATGAAAGAGGTTCTAGTTCTTACCTCACTGGTAAAAATAAAAACTTACTAAAAGATCATGCTCCAGTTGTTGAAAATCTTAGGCACAAAAGGATCTTTCTTGAGAAATCTGGAGCTAGATGCATTGTCATGCCTTGTTACATATCACATTCTTGGCATGATGAGGTTGCACTAGGGTCTTCAGTTCCTGTCCTTCATATGGCAGAGTGTGTGGCCAAGGAGCTCAAAGAAGCGAATTTGCGACCACTAGAAGCTGGGAGTACTCTGCGCATTGGAGTTCTGGCTTCGGATGCAACTTTGTCTGCTGGATTTTATCAGGAGAAACTTCAAAATGAGGTATCCACAGTTGTTCTTGTAACTTTTTATGCCATACCTTTATGTGATTGTTTCAACCATCTATTTATGTGTATCAGTTTCAGTATATGACTAGTTCAAGAAACAACCATCTTTCCTTTATTTATCCTGTTCTAACAACCTCGTAACTTGTGAATTCATAATGGTTCAAGAACTTATATTGGATACTATTGATCATGGGAGGATGGTATGCTAATAGGATAAGCTGTATGTCCAGTCTTGTGCTTTGAGTGCCATGAGATAGGAAACATCTAAATAGCACTTATATATCTGGCTGTTCAATGATATAGTAATCCCACTTGTAAGATGATCTTCATGTGATCATTCCCTCTGAGAAGAAAAAACAGTTTATAATGAAACTAGTCAGTTACCCTTCTGACATGGGTCTTAGGCTCCTCTTCATGCGATAGTTTGTTGGAAACTAACTGCTCAGCAGTCCTTTAATTTATTTCATTCAGTGCTATATTGAGCATTGATTTTGCAACTTTATACGATGCATATACTGATAATTTTCTAGTCCCACAGTTTGTATTCTCATAGGTTGCAAATCTTGTAGATTGCCGGCCCTGCATGATTCCAAGTATGTTTAGTGCCACTCAGAAAGGAGAATTGTGTAAAGTTAGTTTTCAATGATCAGCCGGCTCCCTCTTTTCCCCCTTGAAGTAATTGCAGCAAAAAAACTGCCCATTTTTCTCATATTCTTTCTTTATGCCACAACACCTTTGCCTTTATACTTTTGAACCTCTCCGAGCTGTTGCATAGAAGGACCTAGCCAGTTTGCAGTTTAGACGTACCAAAGTAACTTGAAATTTCTTCTTCAGAAGCAACTTAAGAACAAACAGAGCAGGGATATTTCATCTTTGCCCAGCAAAGCTTCGATATGATGGTGAAGGGAAGACATGTTTTTCTTCAGCCGGATTTGATATGCATTGTCAGGCAATTCAATTAAAAGTAGCAATAAATAGGGAGTTGAGCATTAAAGTCGTGGAAACCTTCAATGGTAAAGATCTGTCTTATGTAGACATGTAGGTCAATCAATTTTGAGTATTGTGACTATTCACGGAATGCTATCAAAGGCATATCCAGAGAGAAACAAGATAGCCCCCTGTTCTAAGCGTCACAGTGATAGATGCTGTAGGTATTTGGACGACAGTGCTTCAATCTTCTTATCATTTCCATTTCTTAAAAAAAGTTCTTATCATTTCCCTAATTAGAGATGCTTGTCAATTTTCTTGTCTCAAAGGAAGCTATATATATATATTCTTTGTGTGAAAGTCTGTGTGTGTGTATGCCTCTAAGTACTACTACCAACTAGCAGGCATGTGAAACATCAAGTTTTGGATATGTTCAATGGCACAGTAATACTATAGTTAGGTGGTTTATTCATCAACAGTTGGAGTTATCACTGATGGTCATTTTTTATTCGGCTTTTACTGAGTGTAGGGTTTTGAAGTTGTGCTGCCAGATAAGGCAACTATGGAACACACAGTAATCCCTTCGCTAGAAGCCTTGAACAGGAAGGACATTGAAGGGGCACAAAATTTGTTCAGAATCGCGCTACAAGTTCTTGTGGTAAGGGCAGTTAACACTATCATAATTGCCTCAGATGACATGCGTGATCTGTTACCTCCAGACGATCCTCTTCTGAAGAAATGTGTCGACCCAATGGATGCGTTGGCCAGGTCAACTGTGAAATTTCTTCAATCAGTTGAAGGGAATGCATAAATACACCCACAAACAGGCGGAGCTACAGGTCTGTTTACGAGTTCAGTAGAACCCAATCCCAAACCGCGTATTTCTGTTTAAAAGTTCCTTTAGTTTGAATTAATAATTTATTCAGTAGAGTCAGAACCCAATAAGCTGCCTTTTCTAAATCCAGAACCCATAAATTCAAAATTGTGCCTCCGCACCCACAAATATAAATATACATATTATATTTTGTTTGTAATTCTTTAGAAGTCATTGATTTTTATCGTGAAAGAATATGGGCTCTATCGCCCCTCAAATATGTAATAGACCAAAGGGAGGTGTATCTTTATGGAATATTGAATGAAAAAGAATTGATTAATCATGCAAGTGAAATTGTGAACTGGCTTCTTTTATAATGAATCATGTTCTTTTAAGATTACTTTCGGATTCCAAAATGGCTATGAATACCAGTAGAAAGTGTGAAAAAAAAGCCTCTATTTCAGTAGAAAGTGCAAACCCAGCAGCACTCCTCGTCTCTCCACTTAAATCACGTAAATTATAACTTACACCATCCTGTGCCGACCTCTGTCTAAACAAGAATCACCTGAAGTATTGAACCCTTGTAAGAAAAACATGATAAAGTCGGTAACTTTTTACATTCTTGCATGAAAATAACCATATCCCCTTCAACTATTTAATACTTTATTCACTCCATCAAAATAACCAATATCCAAACGAAGAAGCTAACCATCTCTCTGCTTCACTAATCCAACTTTGTAAGTTCGTTGCTACAAATGCATTTCTCAGTTACTTGATTTTACATAATGCAGCTAATTGTTCGGTTGATCTCATTTTTGCTACTTTTACAAGTAGAAATAGTTGGAGGGTTTCAGGAAAATATCACTAATGGCTCGTCCAAATCTTCTTCATTATGGCTTAAAAGAGTGGTGAAGAATCCACGAGCCATTGGGTGCGGGAATAGGCCCTGGATTTGCGATGAAGTGGACTTTCCTCCAAGAATAAAGAAGCGTTGTTGCAGGAATCGCTGTATTGATGTCACATCTGATGTGAATAACTGTGGATTTTGTGGAATAAAATGTCCCTTCACATGGCAATGCTGCCGAGGAATTTGCATCAATACTAACATGAGCCCTTTTCATTGTGGAAGCTGTGTGCATAGATGCCAGCCTCCAAGCCTTTGTTTTAATGGAATGTGTGGCTATGCTCAACCAATCCCCCCCTGGCCGTTCCCACCTCGGCCACCATATCCGTTCCCACCAAAGCCGCCTCTGCCACCATATCTGTTCCCACCAAAACCTCCCTTTCCTTGGCCACCACATCCGTACCCACCAAGGATGCCTCGGCCACCGTGCTCACCCCCTCCGTGGCTTTAATGTTGACAATGAAGCCTTTTCTATAAATGGAAAACATCAGTTGAACTCTCAAACGTCATCGCCATTTCTTAAGTTCATTCTTGACTTCTTTCTCCAGAGTTTGATTCTTTGTTCTATTGTTCGTAGAAGAAGATTACACTATGGTATCTCTGTGAATTCTTCATCTAAATGTATAACTTTCCTCGATCATTGTAATTGTGATTTCATTTGCAAGTTTTTCGATCATTTGTCTATCAGAACTAACTTCTATGATGTATGGAACTATGAAAATTATGCTAAGGATAAATTAAAGTAGTTAACACCATGGACACTGCTGAATAACTAAGGCACCCACATTGAACTGTTGTAAGAGAGTACTTATAACTTGCATCTCATCAAATACAAGCCTTTTATGATTAGTGAAGCTATACATTCATTCCAGTCAGCATAAATCATGAATATGCAGAGCAATTTATATTCTTGATAAATCTATACTACAACTAGATTTGATAAATTCAGATTGTACTACTTAATATCTTATCAAATTAAAAATTTCTGCAGCTCTCACACAAGAAAATTTCTGGTATCACCTCCTCCTCATGATCATCAATGCCAGTGCACATTGTGTGGAACCACACTTGGCAAGCATCACAATTTACCATTCTCTCCCCATCATCATCCCTGGCCCCACAAATACAACTGACCTTTAACTTTATGGGCCCACCTTCATACCTCAGTTCAGTATCCAAGTCCAGCCCACAACCTCTCACCCAAACGTGTGCATCTCTGCCCACTGCGCATGATAGCAGCCTCTCATCCTCTATTCCCCTCAAACCACCAATTTGTGTTACTACAAAGTTTTGCATTATGCAATAAGTGTCTCTTAGTGCAAACTGCGTCACTCCTTTAAGCTCACCTATTGTAATCCAAGGAGGAACAAACACAACCACACCAGGTGACAATGGACGAGTCAATTCACTCTCTAACTCGTCGAAACTCGGCAAGACTTTACATGTTAATGCCATTATTTGATGTTCTTGATCCTCAAGCTTCCACTCTTTAACAAATCTCTTGCTGTCCAAGACAACCCCAGTAGCCAAACTCACTGAGTCTGACCCTGGGTAACTTAAAAGCACTGTTTCATACAAGTACACAAGATCTTGATCTATATTCATGTGTAACTCAATGTTCTCAACTCTGTTTGCATCAACAACATCTTCAAAGGCAAATTCAATCCTTTTAGTAGAGGGGTTCTTCGATCGAAAAATGATCTTGTTTCCCATTATGGATTTGTTAATGGATTTCAGTACATAATCAATCAGGCCGGTGTCACGGATGGTTGTCCTAGCCTTGTCACGTAGATCCTGCCTAGACATGGCACCATCCCCATTATGTGCTCTCAAGATTTTCACAATGAACTCAGCAGCTTGTTTCACCGTTCTCTCAGTCCACCTGCAATCAGAATCCATGTCCAAAAATGGAAACCTTATTGATTCTTCTTCCTTAGCAAATTCATGAATAGTGAATTCCAATAACTTAGTAGTTGGGTTGATGGATCGACGAACAATTTGGCTTCCCAATGCAAAGCATCTGATGGATTTCAGCACAAAATCAATCAAACCAGTGTCACCAATGAATTTTCTTGCCTCATTTCTCAAGTCCTGCCTGGTCATCCTACAATTTCTGCCTACATTTGCTTGATTTTCTTTCAGAAAATTCACAATCACTATTACCACAAATTCTAGCCGTCTAGCAGGCCATCTACAATCACTGTTAGCCATCATATTCACAAATGTCTCCATACTAATTGGCCTGTTTTTCTCTTCTATATCAGGATCACACCAATAATCATCACCATTTGCAAGTTTCATCTTGCTATGAAACGGAGCTTTAAACTTGAAAGCAAGCATGAATTGCAATAACTCGCTAATTGTGATCAATGGAACTTCACTCAATTCCCTGTAGGTACCAATAATCTGCTTGATTTTCCGTCTTTCCGTAAAATCTTTCCTGAAATCATTCAAAATTTTGTCAAGCCCCAATGAGCTTAGAAATTGAACAGCAATTTCATATTTCTTCTCTGTCGCTCCATAGCTTCCACGGCAAAATCTGTAACCCCATTTCCCAAACCAAGATTGTCCATATGCAACACCATGAAGCAACCTCAAATGCACACTTCCCTTCTTCGACACATCATTCAATGAAATTTTCCTGGCCAAATAACAATAATAAGATAAATAATTCTTCAATTGCAGCTTAAAAATTCCATACAACAATACTACTTCGTTTATCTACCTAATCAAACAATAATACTACTTACTCAGATCACGACACTTTAGAATAACTTTTACTGAGTTAGGACGACAATTTTTCACACAAAAACTTAATCACTATGATCTTCAGTACCTGGTTTTGAAAATTGTACAAAGACGATCCCAGAGATCCATGAAATCACTTCCAGAGAGCAAATTTGAATCCTCATTAACGCCATTAATGGACAGCAAATGACCATAACCATTGCAATGAATCAAACCATGCAAAACATGAGTACCAATTTCAAGAGAATCGCTTCCCAATGGCTTTTCCCAGTTCTCATTGGCCGGTATTAGCAAATGATACCTTCGTTTCGACACATAATGATGACCCCATCCTTCAACAACACAAAAATAACACTCCATAACAATAAACAAACAAAATTACCCACGAAAATTCATAACTAATTTGCAGAAGAAAAGAAAAAATTGAGTGTTCATTTTATTTTACCAGATAATTTACAGTGATCGCAGAAAGGATGAAGAGAAAGTTGAGTGGTTTCTTCAATGGTGTAGAGTGGGAAAACGGAACCGGTAGAGTTGGAAATCAACCAAGTAGACCAAATTGGAAAACCACAGAGCGTGTAATCTTCAATGGTAGCAAATTCTTGAAGAAACATTCGAATGTTGTCTCTAAAGGGTCCTGAAAAACCGTCAATGGAGTCTCCAATTGCGAATGTTTCGAAGATAAATGGCTTTCGGTTTCTCTTTCTACTGTTACAGGCTTCAATAATGGTGGAAGAAGCCATGGCAAAAACTACACTGAATCGTTCTGGCCAAATTGTTGAGAAAATCAGTTTGAATTTTCGTGAGTGTTTCAGACTATGGTTATGTTTTCTTTTACGTTTTGGCGCTCTATAATGATGATGACACTTGCTGATTTTACATATTTAGCCCTGTGTAAATGCAGAATGAGTGAATTTTGAATGTGGATTTTTGAAGTTTCTAACAAGGGTATTCTGGTAAATGATGTTCTACAAGTTTAAAGTTTCTGATTTGGTTTTAACTTTTTTGGTTCACGTGGTTCAAGAGCAATGCTTGTTGAGTTGTTTTGTTAGGATCTTCCCACCAAAGCAGGGGGTGGGGGGAGTTTGCAGAGGTGAAATTATAAAAATTCCCAAGTTTTTTGATTTTTTTTTAAAAAGAGAGCAGTAATTTGATATTGAATTGAAAACAAGTTGGTGGAAGTTTTTTGTGTCCTCCTAAATGTGGTCGATTATATTTGAAATGGGATAAGTTTGTTTACATAATTTACAACAATAATATATTGAGGCACAATTCTACAAGTGGGGGAGAGTGGTGGTACGTAACATTATTTTTGCCTTGAAAAAAGATAAAAAAAATTATTTGCGATAGACATTTGGTTCAAGTAAAGCGTCATAAAAGTTAAATATATAAAGCAAGTACAATACTCCTAATAAATAATCCTTGGGGTGAAATTGTAAAATTTAATGATATAAAATATCGAATTCTCATCGATAAAATTAAAATTTATATAACCAACGAATTTAACTACTAAATTTACCACAATAAACACTTGTAATCCAAATAAATAAAATAGTCATGCTGGTGAAATTGTGAAATTTGAAAGGATACATTCCCCAATCTATCTGAGGGTCTATTAAGTAAGTATTAACTCCTTTGAATGCCAATTGAAATAGCTTTGTAATTGCAATCTTGGACAGCTCTTTACAGAGGAAAAAGAAAGAAATTAGAGGTACGTTCCGTAGTAGGGAGGAAAACATTTTTCTTTTAAATTTTTCAATATTCTATTGGTCAATTTTTTGATTTTTTTTTTTCTGAATAAAAACAAGTATCTTATAAATTGGAATTTTGTTTTTTGCTGAAAATGGAAAAAGCAAGTTTCAGTGGTATTTCATATTAAATGTGTCTTAGGACCCAATGCACCTCAACTTTACCCCCACCCAGTAGCTCCATCCCCCACCTCACACTTCTAACTTCTACTTTCGTCTTTCATAATATTTGTCTAGATTATATACAAATGTATGAAACATTAAATAAAAAATATATTTTTCAAGAAAACAATTTTCCATCATACCACCGGACACACCCATAGTCTTACCACCAAGTGTATAGCTTTCAAAATCCAAAAAAAGACCAATAGGATTGGAAAACATAGAAGGATAAAAACAGAGAGCTCCATAGACATGGCAAAATAACAAAAAGTCTTCTTCTATAAGATGTGTATAAATGGTGAAACTAGTGTTGTATAGACTGTAGTTTTTACTTGCATCATCAGATATGAAGCTATTCTAATTAGTAAAACTATGTAGTATGTGTAGTCACTTCACAATGACAAGGCAGCATTTTAAACTACAGAGCTACCATAATATCTCCCTGCATATGTAAAAAATCACCCAATTAACCACTTCAAAAATTGATCAAAAAGCCAATGCGATAAAGTTCAGGCGCTTCAGTTCTCCTTAGTGTCTGGTGATTCCGGTGAAGGCTGCAGCGATTCAATCCAGTCAGCATAGATCCGGCTGTTCCTTTTTATGTCATTCAACTTGGATCTACACTTAGCTTGAGCAATGGTTCGTATTTCATTGGATTCTACATTCGTGGCGGGTACATTCCTGGTTAGAGAAGAAATATCAACACTGCTCCACGATTCCGGTGGATTGGAGGAATCAAGACTCCTCATTTCTGTCATTATTGAGAAGTATAACAAATCAGAAATGGTATTGAATCTTACCGTTAATAAGAAATCAAGTATCAGCAGCTGAGGCCAAAATTATAGACAACTTAATGTGGTGATCTTTTCAGATCAATAGATAGCAGCGCCAAACCATATAAGACAGGACTGTCCATGACATGTATGATTCATAGATTTGTTATGTATTTCCATCTTTATAGTTGAAATCCAATTGAAAAG